CCCCAAAACCCCAAAACCCCTTCAATCTTGATTGGAGTTAAAATATAGTCTAAATAAAATAAATTTGAATTTTGAATTTAAAATGAATAACATAAACATGCTAACTCAAAGTCAACTGACGTAAGAGTCCATCCTAAGAGCAAGTAATCTAAGTCATCTACCGCCAAAACATTCTCAACTCAAGAATTAAAGTTCATTTTAGAATTCTAGTTTGGACAAAATATCTACTGACTAGGTCCTTATGCAAATTTAAAACCATCTAAAGTAAAATATTTAATAGCCAGTCTTTGGAGGAGGCAGTTCTTAAAAATCAAACTTTGACAATCAAAACACGAACTATCTGTCCTCACTTAATTCTTCAGTAGAAAAAAAGACCATAGATCTCACAGGTACTCCTAATTACTAGAATATGATTGATAATTGTTCCCCTAAAGACTTATTTAATAATAAAGAGAACATTATGAAAACTTAGAATATCTTGCTTATTGATGATCTCATTCAGCCAATGCCTTAGATGTATGCGAGGAACTCAATAGATTCAACAGACTGCCAATAGTTGCTAAACGAGTTCAAAATACCCACTCATCAATCAAATAATGACATGGATAAGAACAACAATATCAGGAATCAAAGTCAGTAGATATTCTTTCAAATCCAGTCATTATTGGAAGAATTCAGGGTTTTAAATATGAAATACAGCTAGAAATTAAATTCATGCTCAGCATTAGATCGGCAAGAAGTAAGCCAGAAGATTGAGCTGATAAGCAATAATATATACTACATTCAATATGAAGTCAACAACATCAAATCTCAAGATATCTGTGAGTAGATTGGCTAGATCTCTGCCAGATAAATAATGATTTAATCACTCAAAGCTTAACACTAAACACTAAGTGAGGAATTGGATAAATACCAAGATGAGCTATCAATTAAAACTAAAATAGATTAGCAGCAGTAATAGAATCAATATGCTAATTTTACTACCAATCCAATTACTAACTCAAACCTTTCATTGCAGTAAAACGATATAAATGGAGATGAATCTGAACTTAAGAAAAGACTAAATCAGATAATAGTTCTGTGCAAAAAGCTGAATCCCTCAGACTCTCAACCTTAGAGTTCTAAATTTGCAATGCTTAAGTAAACGCTAGGAATACAGTAGGAATCAAAGCCAAATCAATAAGACTACATCAATAAATCTGTTGGAGATATTATCTTTGATATTGAGGAGGAGTTAAAAGTAATGTGTGAGGGCTTTGAGCGCAGAGATCAGACAAGATAGGACATTAATCAGAAGATGATACAGGCTGTCAAGTAATAGCAGTTTAAGGAGCAAATGGCTTTGAAATATGAATTCGAGTAGAAATTGGTTTCTCAGAGATAAGAAAGTGAGGAGAAGTTTATCTAGCAACTAGATCACATGAGAAGAAGCTCTTAAAACATTAATGAGACTTCTGAAATTCTGCATTTAAACTAGGAAATTGATAGACTCTAAAACATGATAAATCAAAATCTAAATGAAATCTCGTATTTGAAACAAAACATGGGTCATTTGGTGAATGAAAAGGCTCATCAGATAGAGGCTAATTTACTTAAAGAATCAGAAATTAAGGAGTAAACAAGGCTGAAGGAAATCGAAAGTGATATGAAGATTATCAAACTTGAATGGAAAAATAAAAATAAGACATTGAAAGCTGACTATGAAAAGTAACTTAGGCAAAAAGAGTAAGAAATAAAGGAGCTGAAGGACATGATTAGTTAGAATGAGAAGTATTAGAAATAAGAGAATGAATTAGTAGGGGATATGAAGTTACAAGAGGAGGAAAAATATGAAAAAAGAATCGCACTTATTAAAAAGATGCACGATGAGTAAGTACAGGAGCTTAAAAGAGTTATATCTGAAAGAGAAAATGAAATAGAGACAAAAATAATCATATTCAATAAATAGAAGGATGATCTCTACTAGAAAGCGAAGCAAGATGCGATCAAGGAGGAAAAGATCAAAACTGATAAGTATCTTTCGAAAATTGAACGAATCAAGCAATAAGAACTTGCAATGTCAAAGAGATAGCAAAGAAGCACCATAAATGAACTCAAAGATTAGATTTCACAGATAGCTCAGTAACTAGACTTATATGCTAAAGCTAATCCATATTAGCAAGCTTAAATGATAAATTCAATCTTGTCGCCTGAGTAAAGTTTCAACCCACTTTAGAATCCCTCACATCCAGGACTAGACTTGCAGAATCTTAAAGACAGTGTAGGACAGTTAACCAATTAAATTAAAGAGATTGACAGAGATACCGGCAAGTATGCAAGAAACGAAGAGAGATCTCAGGCATCAAGATCTTAAAATAGACTTGAAAAATATAAGCAATCAATGCTAGGCACATCTGGAAAGAAAGGAGGCTTGAACGAAAGCTTGTCACGCGAGAGACCACTTTTCTAATCTAAGCTAAACCTCACTTAGAAAGTTGACTTTGATGTCAGTAACTAATCTATCCTAGTCGATAAGTAGAGAGACAAGTCTGAAATTAATAATAAAACCTTTATGGATTCTCAAAATATTTTAGAAGAGGTGATTGAAGTCACAAAAGTCTAAGGAATATAATGCATTCTAGGTGCATAGTTCTTTGAAACTCTAGATCTAAGGGTTTGCATGAGATGTGGTTTAAATGATAAAATCTAACCTGGACAATGCAACTTCCATCCCTTTAAGTGCCATCACAAGTCAGGTTCTGGTAAGTATATGTACTCTCCACAGTGGCATTAATGTAGAGAAAACTGTGTCCATGACTCTAAAGAGAAAACAGGATGCATTACCTTAGATCAGCATTACTATGGGACTCATCTTCCTTACATGGAATCAGTTGAAACTGAGAGAAAGAGGCAAAAGTCTCTTTAAAGAAAGAGTTTTATGAGTACAAAAGATGATAAAGAAGTAATGACTGAGGTATCATTGCTATTCAATCCTTTTAAGAAAACTTCTCAGCCGAACTCATCAAGATCACCAAGACCATCTGAGAAATCCTATCATTCTAGGAAAAGGTCAACAAGTAGTACAAGTTCCAACCCGTAATATATGTCTTAGAGAAGATCTAGCAAACATAATCATTATTCATAAGTGAGTAATGTTAAGAGTTCTACTCATTCAAAAAGTTCAGTTAGTAAAACTAAACCATCATACCTAGAGTAATCAAACTATCAGACTTACGTGAGACTACCCGAGGATAGAGAAAGCATTCAATCATCTCCGTTAACAACTAGTAAGCTCTAAGTGACTGCCCCAGATTAGAAATATTCCAGCAGGATTCATGAATCTAGCCATCCTGATAATGCCAGCTATTCTTAAAGATCTAAAAAAACATAGAATGCATTAGCAGTTGTATCACCTTTCAAAGATTAACTTGAGAATTATATATAGTCAATGGCATCTTAAACTGATCGATTAGACAGTTATAACTCTATGAGCTCTAATGGGATGAAATATCAAACTAATTCTTTCAACACAGCTACTTAGGTAAAATGTGAGAAGGCTTTTGATAGTAATGATAATATGATGATTCAGAGCAGATACCTTAAAACTGATCAAGATTAGAAATAAAGCTCAACTTAGAAAAAGATACATAAAAGTAGTACTATTATGATTTAAAGTGATGTTTCACAAAGCGATAGGAGAAATAGCTCCAGGCATTCTAAAATTTGAATTGAAATTTGACTGAGATTTAGATTTTATTATTATATTTTTGAAATTGATTACTTATTTTTAATGATGGGGTTTTGGGGTTTTGGGG